ATAGACTGGCTCTGGATCCAGAAATGCATCATCACAAAGGCTGATTTTGCTGTTGGGAGGCAACAGCAGGTATTTAGCACCTCGTTATCAGCATCTAACACAGTGCCACACCTGGTGGCAAATGTTAGGACATGACAGAGGATGTGGGACTGTGTCCACCTCTGCCAGTCCGTGCTATAACCAACCCTGCCAACTTTGTGTTAATGAAGTCACAAACTCAAGTGACTTGTGTTGTGGGGATGGATTGTCTACAGGGCATCAGTACACAGACCTCTGCTACAGGCACACTTCTGGCTGAGAGGGGCAGAGAACTCAGGATTTCTAAAAGGTACTGAAAAGGGTCAAAAGCTCAACCTTACTGAGCTATCTAACTGAGAAATGAGCTCATTTGACTCCTCAGCCACAACTCCTTGTGCTGAACTCTCATTCTTGGGAGGAAGAGTGGGGGGAATTTGGCCATTTGTGCAGGTTTGGGCGGAAGTAGAGTTAATTTTCTTCACAGTGGCTAGTATGTGGCTATGTTTAGGATCTGTGCAGAGCACAGGGTTGATAGGGCAGAGATGTTTTTGTTATTGCTGAGCAGAGCTCACACAATGCCAAGGCCTTTGCTGCTTCCCACACTGCCACATGGCAATGAGGTTGGGGGTGCATGGGAGACTGGGAGGAGACACAGCTGGGACAGGTGACCCAAACTGACCAAAGGGATATTCCACACCATATGTTTGTATACAAAGAGGGAGGAAGATGGAGGAAGTGGGGGACGTTTGCAGTGATGGTGTTTGTCTACCCAAGGAACCACTCTGGTGGTGGGCGCTGCGCTCCTGGAGAGGCTGACCCCCTCCTGTCTGTGGGGACCAGTGAATTAATTCCTTGTTTTGTTTTGCTTGTGTGTGGCTTTTGCTTTCTCTATTAAACTGTCTTTATCTCAATCCATGAGTTTTTGTAGCTTTTACCCTTCTAATTCTCTCCCCCATCCCGTTGGTGAGGGACTATATGAGTGGCTGTGTGAGGTTTGGTTGCTGTTTGGGGTTAAACCACAACACCATTATTGTTTAAAACAAGAAATTTAAGAAACAGCAATAAAGAAATTGATCTATGTTACCTTTCTTTTATTATTCTTTTAGTTAGAGCAAGTGAAACTAAAGACTAGCTTTTAATAATTAAGGTAAATCTGAAAAAAATAATCATGAAATTTTAAACTTCGTATTTTGTCGGAGGATATTTATGACAGAAAAGCAATGTGAGTCTCAGTGTTACTGACAGGAATTAAGAAACAGCAATAAAGAAATTGATCTATGTTACCTTTCTTTTATTATTCTTTTAGTTAGAGCAAGTGAAACTAAAGACTAGCTTTTAATAATTAAGGTAAATCTGAAAAAAATAATCATGAAATTTTAAACTTCGTATTTTGTCGGAGGATATTTATGACAGAAAAGCAATGTGAGTCTCAGTGTTACTGACAGGAATTGTGTCTCCCCCATTGATCTATGTTACCTTTCTTTTATTATTCTTTTAGTTAGAGCAAGTGAAACTAAAGACTAGCTTTTAATAATTAAGGTAAATCTGAAAAAAATAATCATGAAATTTTAAACTTCGTATTTTGTCGGAGGATATTTATGACAGAAAAGCAATGTGAGTCTCAGTGTTACTGACAGGAATTGGTGGGTGTCTCCCCCCAGGTATTAAGGCATCACTGGGTCTTGGAATACAAGTTTAAAAGACTGATTTTACTTTTCATAATAATGCTAATAAGTTTGCACACCATCCAAAAAAAAAAAAAAAAAAAAGAAAAACAACCAAAAGAGAGGTGGCATATACATGTCACCAAAATACAGATGGTCTATCATTGGTAAATCAGGTAAGAAAGCAGCATGTAAATAAAGACATTACTGGTTTTCTTTATTTAGTGAAAAAATGTCTGGTCCAGCAGTTAAGTAATGTCTCAACATTTCTTATTTGTTTCCTTAAATATTTTTTCATCTGCCTTCAAGGAAGTTTAGGTGAGTAAGAAATTACTTTGGGTTGCTTCTCCTGTGCATGTGTGGTGCACCCATAGCCTTGGCAAGGACCTGCTGTGGTTGCTGCTGGCAGCTCTGTCACATCTTGGCTCTGCCAAGACCAAGCTGGACCCTGCTCTGCCCAGGCAGCTGCTTTCTTAGGTGTGAATGTTAGTTATAGTCAAAAGTCTAACCTTTCCTCCTGCCTCTGAATTGCTCAAAATGGTATTGTTACTGATTTTCAGCTGTGGTTTGGGAAAAAGAAGATTAGCCAGTTTTCCTCCTTTGAGGAAGCAAATTCACCTCTGCCATATCAAGGTGCTGTATTTAGTTATCTTAGGAAACAAGATGTAACATAAAATATTCTCATGTGTTCATTTCACATTTTATTTACTGTTTTACTCCCAGTGAGAATAAACCTCACTCAAGTTTCTATCCCTGGTGACAGTGTCTATGTGAGCTTTCAGTGCCACCTCTTCCTTCTTAATATTCACTGCACAGACCACAGATAAGAGCTTTTCCTTATCTGTGTTATCTTAGGAAACAAGATGTAACATAAAATATTCTCATGTGTTCATTTCACATTTTATTTACTGTTTTACTCCCAGTGAGAATAAACCTCACTCAAGTTTCTATCCCTGGTGACAGTGTCTATGTGAGCTTTCAGTGCCACCTCTTCCTTCTTAATATTCACTGCACAGACCACAGATAAGAGCTTTTCCTTATCTGTATGTGTCCCACACTGCAG